GGACTCCTTTTATAATCTGAGGAAGAAAGTTCAAATTTGTCAGCCCAAACCTGGCTCTGGCATAGATACACCTATAAATATTACCTCAACAACTAGACAGACTAACAATCCTGAACACAATTTACTTTCCTGATTTTTTTTTTCTAGAGTCCTTTTCCTCCCTAGTCCCCAGATATGCCCATGAAAATCCTACCCTACTCATTTATCCAGTATATATGTTGTGAGCTGTTACATGCTATAGACACAGAGTGGGACAGGTGATCCACACAAAACTTACAATATGGCACTGTAAATGTGAAAATCCTGAAAAATGTGAAAACAACTACAAAAGGGAAACAGAGTAATGGATACAGAATAGAGAGAGGTTGGCTATTTAAGGGGTAAGGGCACGTCTCCCAGAGAAAGTCACTTAACAAGTGTAAATGCTGGGGGATTACAAAGAGAGGATAAAGTGCTCTCAGGTAGGGAAATGGCACACCACAGGCCCTGAGGAGAGAAAGAGTTATAGGAAAACTTGGAAGATGTGGGAGAAGACCAGACTGGTTGTAGCGGAGAATCTAAGACAGTGCAGCCCATTAGATGGGGTAAAGGGACTGGCAGACTGTGGATGGCACAAAATCCCAGATCAGAGTACCCACTGTGCCTGCTAAGTTGCAGGTAACTCGGTAGTGTTCTTGCCATCTAGGAGCTTACCTTCTTCTTTCGAGCTGGACAGGTAAACCTGTAGTGGGGAAAGAGCCACTCTAGATATAGGCACAAACAGTTCACATTGGGAAAAGCTACCGCAAAGAAATAATGTTGGAGCAGAGACTTGAAAAATGAATGTGAGTTCCCCTAACCTGACAAAGATTTATAAGGCAAAGGACCAGGATGCACAGAGTTATAGGGATGTGAAAAAAAAAATCACAGCTTTTCGTTCAAGTTGCCCATGAGAGTCCAGAGGAGAATGTTTTTCATCCTCCTCTGAATTTAGGGCCCCTGCACCACAAAGGTGTTAGCCTAGATGGTGATGAAGTACTTGAAAAAAGAGATTTCACCTTTTTCGTTGTTTTTTAAAGAAATGACTAATAGAAGTTTTGTAGTGCTTTGTTTATAGAATGCCACTCATTATCAGTAAATACAGAGTTGTGGAATAGATAAATTAACTATTTGTTAAACTCAAATTAGTTCTGGGGTGGCCATTTGGCCTAGTTGTTAAGACCCCAGCTAAGATGGATGCTGGTATCCCCTGGGTTCAATACCTGGTTCTGGCTCCTGACTACAGCTTCCTACTAATGCAGACCCTGGGTGGCAGCAATGATTCCTAACCCACCCGGGAAACCTGGATCGTGTTTCTGGCTCCTGGGTCCAGTCCCAGCCCAGTCCCAGCTACTGCAACATTTAGGAAGTGGGAGCTCAGTCTCTGTCTCATCTCTGTTTCCTTCTCCCCCTCCGCCCCCAGCTCTTGAATAAAAAAGAATTAGTTCTGCTAACTTATGCATGGAAGGAATAAAACAGCAAATACACATTAATATACTTTTCAGGAGCAGGTTAGGAGATTATCAAAGAAAGAGAAGATGATTACTGAAATCCCTGTGACTCCACAAGTTAAAATAGCCAGGGATGGGATCCCAATCAAGGTGTGTAAGGCACCAAAAAATGGGTGAGAATGACACAGCACATAGTTCACTCTTCATTAGAAATGAATGACTGAAATGTTTTCATTTTTTAAAAAAATAGCCTACCTGTAAATATGAAGAAAATCAAGAGTCTGTCATAGTTGAAATAATGTCAGGCAGAGAACAGAGAATTTAATAGTTTATCTCTGCTCCTCTTTCCCCTAAGCCGTGAGTTTTAAGCAATCATTTGAATTAATTTCAAAATATTCTTGCAGACATCACTAAACTCTGTCCATACCAATGAATTCCAATGACATCACTGTTTCCATGGTAACTAATGCACTTCCAAAGGGGGAAAAATGGAAAGCAAGACTAACAACCAGGAATAAAGTGGTATAAACAAAGCGTAACATCTCCTTTGCACTTAAGGCATGCTCTCTAATTCAAATGCTTTACTATTACTTAGACTCTGAGACTCTTAAGGGCTGGAGGTATCCCAGAAGTCATCAAATCCATCACTCACAGCTATGTCTTCCTTTACAATCAGTAGTCCATCAGCTTCCACAGCTCATTCTAGAAAGTTCTCACACTCACTTGCAAACATAACTAAATATGTTGTTCTATGGTTTAAGAGATGATTTAGACACTATCCCTCTTTTTAAAATTTTTGCAGTTTTAGAAGACAAATAATTAAAACTAGGAGTAAGAAAAGAAGATACATAAAGATGTTCAAAAAGCCAAGGAAGAAACTCTTCATTGTGACTTGGAGAGATTACACAGATCCTGTGACTTTTATGTCCGTCCACTCCCCTCCATCCCACACATCCATGACCACATCCTGGACCTTGTCATGACCCAAAACTGCTCCAGTCCCACAAAACTGAATTCCAGAATTAACTTTCTGATCCTACTTTTCACTCCCTAATTTCTAAATTAGCCCTAAGAGCCTTATGCGATCCATCATCCTTCACTTGGAATACCTCCTCACAATATTCCCCTTGCCAAAATCCTCAGCCTTTATCCTTCAGTGGCAACAAGCAACAGCCCAACCTGGATGCACTGACTACCCTTCTGCCCCCTGGTGTGTGCCAGAGGATTATCGGCCCCAACCTCTGCCTTGGAGTCTAGAGGAAAATCTGTCAGACAGTATGAGACTGTTTGCCTTCTTGTTTACAAGGCAGTCAGTATAAAAGGCTGCAAGGCAAGTGAAAATAAGTAAGAACTGAAAGGTAAATATGCTGAAATTATTTAATACCCAAAGAGCAAAATCCACATAGGACTTGCCCCAGAGCCACAGTTACCGCAAATGACAGTATGAATTCAATGACCTGTGGGTATACAAAATGATAACTCATGGAGGAAAACACAGAAAAAAGCTCTGGCTCCTGCACTTTTTAAAACTTTTTGAGTGAGGTAGATATCTGCCTCCATCTTCTTACAGAATGAGAAGTTACACAGTCCGGGCAGACAGAACGGATTCTATCCTGACCTTCAGTGGTCTTTACAGGCATTGGCTCCATCAACTAACTCCTGCCAGAGAAAGGATCACAGATTAGTTTTTAACTCTGTCATTATTTTTGGTGGAGAGCCCGTCCTCTAACTTTTTGCTGATTTATGTTTTAAAATCCTATATAACAACTACCCTTTTTTAGTTATTGGGTAGACAGCACTTGCTTCCAAGAGACAGTTTCATGTCTGAGGTGGCCATTTAGTTATCGTTTTGAAGTTTCTCCAGGCTAAAATTCACAGCGCAGAACACCAGCTCCAAACTGCTTGCTGACCACAGTGTCACGTCTGCTGACATAAACACCTTCAGATCACAGGAAGGTGGGCATTCAGGTGTGATGCTCACGGGGCTCCTCAGCTTTCACAAGAGCTCGTGGATCCAACCTAGAGCTGCACGCTTATCAATGCACACGGCGCTGTGCGTACTAAGTGGCGTGGGAGGCGAGGTACTAGTCTAGGAAACCACCTCAGCCCTGCTAAGTATACTGCTGTACACTCTTTAGAAGCTCTCCTGAGAGTCGGCTCTAACACATTACTGGGCTTCATCCTGTGTCCTGTCTCATTAAAGAATTTGATACAGGGTGTGTGCTCTTTCATTATCAAAGCAAGCATTTACCTGAGCACGCAATTTGGGGTGGGGGAAATGAGGGGGCAAGAATCATGAGCCACTTGAAGCTAATCCACAGACTAAAGTTTAGAAAGCTCTGCTCTATGAGCCCTCAAATCTATCCTTGAGATAAGCAAGGCCACTAAAGAGTCACATGGCCGAGAACAGCATGCTGGCCTTGTTCTGTCTGTACTCGGGCACAATTCGATTACTTTTGTTGAGAGAAACAGGAAGTAAGGGCCTTCGCTGTACTATAAAGAACGTGGTGTGACTGTGTTCATTATACAGTTTCTTCTTCCTGAGAAACTAGGGAAGATACGTCTCTGGTCTCGGCATCCTTTGTCTTGAATACCCAGTTCTCTTTCCAGCTTTGTGGAAATGGACAGTTTTTAATGTACTCTGATCCCTTCCCTTGGGCTGCTATAGCATTTCTAGGCTATCCCTAGCATGTGTTTAAGTGGCTTAATGGCATGACTTCACTTCTGACTCTGCCTGATTTTAATTATTTGTTGTCTATTTTTATATTTTCAACTTGTATTTTGCCATATGGGCAGAAAATACCTTCTAGAAGAAGTCAAGCTATAAATGAGTTAAATTATAAGGAACAGAAGAAAAAAAGTAATGTTTCTTCACCTATTTCCCTACAGATAATCTATTCAAGTCTATCTAATTCCCTAAAATGCTCTTATACTTTTAGGTTTCTTTAGCTTTCTTTTTTTTCCTGAGGGGAACGGGACTTGGTGGTGACGGCTGTGTTTGAGAATGGCGGCACTTCTTCAGAAAACTCATACCACCCTAAAGAATGTTTTGAAATTCTTCTTGAATAATATAACATACAGACATGTTTGTGCCAAGTGTTTTAATTTTTGTATTTAAGACACAGAGAGAGCTCCTATTCACTGCTTTCCTCCTCAGATACCCAACAGCTTAGCCTTGAACTAGGAACACAGTCCAGGCCTCCCACGTGGGTAGCAGGGGCACAACTACTTGAGCCATCAAATCCTGCCTTCCCTGGGATGCCAATGGCAGGAAGTAGGAGTCAGGAGCTGGAGCTGGGAAGTGAAGCCTGGCACTCTGATGTGGATGCAGGCATCTAACCTGGTGTCTTAACCACTAGGCAGAACAGCCGCTCCTAAGTGTGTTTTGAAAGTAATCATAAAAATGAACTACAAATCTTGTAAAGATTTCTGCACACAACTAAATTAAGACTCAGGCCTTGCTTTCCTGTGACTTTGTTTTCTAGTTAGAAGAGTTTCATACTTTTCCACAGTAAAGCTAGAAATGCTTACAGGCACGTGAACTTTTCGAAACATCTCAGCACCCTTGTGTGCGTCCATCAGTGCAATATCCTGGGGTGTGGAGACAATCACAGCACCTGCCAAAAGACAAATGAAACAGGATAATTGCCAACATTACACTGCTTACATGTCAGATAGTCCACTACATTAAATATTTAGGTAATCTTTACAAAACCGAACAAGAGGCCGGTACCGCAGCTCAATAAGCTAATCCTCCGCCTGCGGCGCCGGCACACCAGGTTCTAGTCCCGGTCGGGGCGCCAGATTCTGTCCTGGTTGCCCCTCTACCAGGCCAGCTCTCTGCTGTGGCCTGGGAGTGCAGTGGAGGATGGCCCAAGTCCTTGGGCCCTGCATCCGCATGGGAGACCAGGAGAAGCACCTGGCTCCTAGCTGCGAATCAGTGTGGTGCACAGGCTGCAGTGCACCGGCGGCAGCAGCCATTGGAAGGTGAACCAATGGAAAAGGAAGACCTTTCTCTCTGTTTCTCTCTCTCATTGTCCACTCTGCCTGTCAAAAAAAAAAAAAAAAAAGAACAAGAAAGATGAGAAAATCTATATTTTACTGTTGTCTACCTCTGACTCCTCACTTCTAAAAACTCAGCTAAAGGGCCAGTGCTGTGGTACAGCAGCTTAAAGCCCTGGCCTGAAGCACCAGAATCCCATGTGGGTGCCGGTTCTAGTCCTGGCTGCTCCTCTTCCGATCCAGCTCTCTGTTATAGCCTGGGAAAGCAGTAAAGGATGGCCCAAGTCCTTGGGCCCCTGCTCCCACGTGAGAGACCTGGAAGAAACTCCTGGCTCCTGGCTTCGGGTTGTCGCAGCTGCAAGCGTTGCGGCCATCTGGGGAGTGAACCAGCAGATGGAAGACCTCTCTCTCTGTTGGTACCTCTCTCTAACTCTTTCAAATAAAATTAAACACATCTTTTTAAAAAAATTAAAATTCAGCTAACTGATCAGTGATTCAGGAAAACAGCTGATATATATCATTGGGCCCTTCTTGGCACGTGTACAAGGTGTTAGTTAGAGAGACGTATAAGGCAAAGGCTTACTTCCAATAAGTTAATAGTTTACTTCAGAGACTAAAAATCAAGGATCCTAATAGGAAGTACTAATCATTGTAAGAGAAGTATGAATAGGGTATTAAATTTTTGAAGTAGAAACAGAAAGGAAAGCTAACTAACTTCAGTTTGGGAGAAAGGACGTTGAAATATGATAGATGAGAAGAGAGGGGCAAAGCAAGAGGTAAGTAGAAGCAACAGGAGAAAAGTTTTCAGAAAAAGGTGATTCCTAAGCTGAGACCTGGAGTCATTTGCCACACAATGACACTTCAGCCAATGACAGCATAGAATAGACAATGATGGCCCTGTAGGGAGCGACACCTGCTCACAAAACGCCTCAGGCAGGTCCTGCAGGCGGTGTCCAGAGAAGGTATTCCTTCAGCCAGAGGTTTACACCCCAAATGGCCAGGGCTGGGCCATGAACCCAGAACTCAATCCAGGTTTCCCAAATGGGTGAAAGGAACCCAAGTACTTGAGTGAAAAATCTGCTGCCTCCAAGGTTATGCACTAGCAAGAAGCTGGAGTCAGAAGTGGAGCCAGGACTCAAACCTAGCCACTCCTGATAAGGGATGCAGGCATCACAAACTTATCTTAACTACTGCACCAACCGCTGGTCCCCAGTGTGTGTTTTAAAGTAAGTATTACAAAAGAATCAAAAAGTTTAAAGGTAAAAAATGTAAGCTAATGTTAATTTATTATTCAATAGAGAAAAAGAAAGTGCTTATATGTTTAGTGTAGCCTAAGCGTACAATGTGTACACAGTCTACGGTAGTGGACAGAAATGTCCTTGGCATTCACACACCACTCACTGACTCACCCAGAGCGACTCCAAGTCTTGTAAGCTGTACTCACGGTAAGTGCTTTATACAGATATGCCACTTTTTATCTTTTACACCGTATTTTTACTGTGCCTTTTCTACATTTAGGTATGTTTAAACTCACAAATACTTCCATTTGTGTTAGAATGCCCACAGTACCCAGTCCAGTAACATGCTGTAAAGCTTGGTAGCTCAGGAACAACATACTGTATCGGAGAGCTGAGGTATGTAGTAGCCTACACCACCTGAGTTTAGGTACGCACATGCTCTGATGTTCGCACAGCAATGAAAGCACCTAGTGATCCGTTTCACAGAATTTATCCCCTTGTTAAGCAACATGCGACTGCACTCGTAAACACAGACTCTAGAGGACAGTGAGGGGGGGGTAACAGTGGGAAATGATGGTGGTCTGCACTAATGCAGCACTGCAGAGCATGGAGATGGAGCCTTTCCTGGATCTCCACTATTACCCTACAGAACCAGACAGCACCAGGGACGGTGTCTGGAGGGAAAGTGTACTACAATTTTTCCTTAAGTGGAAACAATGAAGGCCTGGTGATGACTGGCAGTTTGTGAATTTCTTAAATTTCCTCTAGACAACAATCTGAAAAATAATTAACAGAAACATATAGGTCACAAGGCTGACCATCACCTTATAACCAAACACACAAAGAGCCCCAAACCATTTCACTGGTACCAAATAGCAATCTCTGTCATGGCTAATGAAAACAAAGGCAGAATTAAATAACTGATAAGACCACGTTAAGTCAACCTGATACTACAGAATAAAGTCTGAAGAGAGATTTTGAATAATTCAGAATGCAGGAAAGTGATGAGAGAACCAAGTTATCCCAACACACATGGCAACAGAGCCATCACAAACTCAAAACACCTGTGCAGTGGTCCTCAGCCACAAATGCACTTGCAATTAGTATGAGCATTTCAGCAAAAACTTCACCTTTCAAATTAATGTCATTAATTTGGAATTTGTTTTCCTTGCACTTAATATTGTTGGTTTTTAAAATGTTTGTTTTCATCTACTTGAAAGGCAGAGTAAAGAGAGACAGAGATCTTCCATCAGCTGATTCACTCCACAAATGCTCACACCAGCCGAGGTCTCCCACTGGGGTGTAAGTGTCCATTCCAAGCACTTCAGCTACCATCATCTGCTGCCTCCCAGGACACATTAGCAGGAAGCTGCACCAGAAGCATAGAAGCTGGAACTCAAATCAGCACTCTCATGTGGGATGCAGGCATCCCAAGTGGCAGCTCAACCTGCTGTGCCCACAATGCCTGCTCTGGTTTGTATTTTTGTTTTTTAAGATTTATCTCTCTGAAAGGCAGAATTATAGCGAGTGAGGGACAATGAGGGAGAGACAGATCTTACATCCAGTTTCACTTACCAAACGGCTACAGCCAGAAGCCTGGAATTCCCTCCATATCCGCCATGTAGGTGGCAGGGATCCAAGTACTTGGGCAACCCTCTGCTGCTTTCCCAGGTGCATTAGCAGGCAGCTGGATTGGAAGTAGAGCAGCTAGGATGGGAGCTGGTGCTGTTATGGAATGCTGGCATTCCAGATGGCAGCTTAACCTGCTATGCCACAATGCCAGCTCCCTAGATATTTTTTTCCAATTATATATGAGTATGACCTTAAGGGACACATGGTCACATTTAGTTAAAAACCTGTTAATTAAAATAAGTCGATATAGAGTATAGGGGCAGATTATTTTTCTAAGACAGGGTGTTTATTCATAGCTCAAGTTTGAGATATACTAGCTTTAGAATACAAACAGATCAAATTTCGAGTTTCAAATTTTGATTCCATAGCTGACAACCTGTGTGACTAGGTGGCTTAAACTGAGTTTCAGTTTTTTCACCTATCAAGTGGAACAGTAATACTTAAGTCATTGAGTTACAATAATTCAATGAACTACTATACACAGATGCCTGATACATCTAACATCCAATAAGTGACACTGGTGCTTTTGTTAATAATATCACCATCACTCTTATGTTTATTACTGTTATTAATACAAAGCCTTACAAGTTATTAGGAAGGTCACTTTCCTAACTGCCATCAAGTCACTCATCTTACTTTTGTTTTTTTTATAAATGAATCTCTCTGTGTTTATATAATTGTTTTGCAAAGATCTGAAAGAGTTACAAAGAGAGAAGAAGAGAAAAAGGAGAGGGAAAGATCCTCGATCTGCTGGTTGAACTCCCCAAGTGGCCACAATGACCACGACTGGGCCAGACAGAAGACAGGAGACATGAGTTTCAACCAGGTCTCCCTCGTGCCATTAGCAGGGAGCTGGATAGGAAGTGCGGTAGCTGGGACTCGACCCAGTGCCCATAACATGCTGGAGTTGTAGGTGATGGCTTTATGCATTTCCCCACAAGGCTGTCATCTTACTTTTCTTTCTTTCTTTTTTCTTTTTGACAGGCAGAGTGGACAGTGAAAGAGACAGACAGAGAGAAAGGTCTTCCTTTTCCGTTGGTTCACCCCCTAATGGCCGCTGTGGCCGGCGCATCTCGCTGATCCGAAGCCAGGAGCCAGGTGCCTCTTCTGGACTCCCATGCAGGTGCAGGCCCAAGGACTTGGGCCATCCTCCACTGCACTCCCGGGACACAGCAGAGAGCTGGCCTGGAAGAGGAGCAACCAGGACAGAATCCAGCACCCCGACCGGGACTAGAACCCGGTGTGCCGGCGCCACAGGCAGAGGATTAGCCTATTGAGCCGTGGTGCCAGCCGTTACTTTTCAAATAGTTCCATGGGTCATTACATTCTGCAATATTTTTGTATTCTGCACAATAAGCCAAAAGTTAGTCAACATTTCTCTTTCTCCTTAATTGAAGACTGATGGAAGTCACATCTCAAAAAATTATACTCTACACATCCAATGTATTTCCACAATTTGCTATCTTGTAGATTGTGTTACTAATCTGTTTCACTGTTTTTTTCATATCCAGACATTTAGAAGAAATGGAACTCCAGCTATGGCCCCATCTAGTTGTGAGACTAACCTTGGGAAGTAATTCAGGATCACTCTGGTTCTGTTTCCTTCACTTTAAAACCAGTGCATGCACTGCATGGTCTCCAAGGCCTCATCTGTCTCTATGATTATATGATTAAGCATTGCCTCTTAACTAAGATTTCCAAAACCACTCCCGCTCAACCTGACTGCTCCAGTATCCTTATTTAAG